CGTCAAATTCCACATTATTCGACGTCGCCCTAACAACATTTACATTGTCCACGTCAGCTATTCTCTGAAAGAATCTCTTCATGAGATTTCAACAATTTCAATTCAACCAACAATACCCAACTTTCAATAATACCCAAATTTTAGCAATTTCAACTCAACAACGGGACAACACCCAAATGTCAACAATACCCAATTTCAACCTACAACAATACCCAATTTCTACTCAGAAGTCAGCAATGCCCAAATTTCTTCCATACCCAATTTCCATTTCAACAGAGTCTACTCTACTGGCTACAGCAATTTGCCAATTTCAATTTCAATTTTCAACCATACCCAATTTCCATTTCAACCATACTCAGCAATATATTCATCTACTGCACATAGCAAACAAGAAACAACAATACCCAAACATAGTATTAATTAAAAGAACAATTTCTAATTTTCGGTCTCAAGACTCATGCTATCACCAAATGCCAATAATCCAAATAAAAAATTACTAAAGCCTACAGAAAATACCTGGCAGATGCATTCAATAGAGGAGGTGGAAGCTGGAGGTGGTCCGGTGGAGGAGGAGAGCAGTCGCAGAGGAGGCGACTGGCGACTTCTGCGACTGCGAGTCTGCGAGGAAAGTAGAGGAGGCTGGAAGTCTGCAATGGAGGTGACTGTGGACTGGCGTCGTTGAGTTGAGTCTGCAACGGAGGCTACGGAGGTGAAGTGGAGGCTGAGACTGAGAGGCGAATGGCGTCTAGCAAGAGCAGGAGGCGATTTTGATTTTGCTTTTGCTAAGAATCGAATTCGTAGGCTTGAGGAAGGAAAGGAAATGAAATGGGTTTAAATGTTTGGGCTTTCTCCCTTGAGTTGGGCTGTCCAGCTGGGCTTTAACTTAAAAAAAAAAAAATTGAGCCCAAAGTTCAGGGTGGGCCTGTGCCCATCCTAGGCTGTACTAGGCTCCGCCCCTGCACCCAGAGAAAGTCTTTGGAATTGTTACACTGGGTATACCTTTTCTTCCTCCAGGCCCACCTGCATTTCTTGAGCATCTTCCTGAAGGCTTTTATATTTCAAGATGGCTGGTACAAGAAAATCTTGATTCTTCTTTCCATTTGTTAAAAATAGGAAATGATTTTCTTTGAGCTCAACCTCATTGTTGAAATCTTATTCCAGGAACCCGGAAGAGCAGAGGCCGATTTTGGTCGACTGGACTCTAAAACGGTTGTACGGAATATCTATATCCTCTTCGCACGAAGTGAAATACCAATAGCTAATGAAAACCAGGAGATAATGGATATGGTGGATTCATCTACTCCTTTACCGTCTTGGATCCCCGAGGAAGATCTTGTGGCCTATGGTTCTTTATATAAAATCAGGTTTTCAAACTGCATTGCAAGTTCCATATAGGTAATTCGCTGCTACTTTTCTCGATTCTCCAAAGACATAAGCACGTTCTCTTCTCGATTTCTCCAAAGTCCCGATTTTTTGTAGGACAATCAATGAAGAGTTCAATATAGCAAATCTGAAAGTTGAAGCACTGCTGATCATGGGTACCAAGGATTATGTGCTCAAATTTCCAGGAATGGAAGATTATATAAAAAATGGACATGCAAAATTGTTTGTTCCTAAATTGGAGACAACATATCTACCAGAAGGCAGCCATTTTGTGCAGGAGCAGTTTCCTCACCAAGTGAGCCAGCTAATTCTCAACTTTCTTATCAACCACAGATGATTTCTCTACTCCCTTCAAGATCTATGCTGCATTATGAATGATTTTAATTTGTGAACATCCTCATGTCTGGTTACTTAGAATTATTGTGCCCTTTTTCATAATCTGGACTTCCGTCAATATTGAGAAATCAAATCTCGAGAAGCCAACGTCTCTAGGTACAAAAATTGACATGAACCTCTAGTCTCAAATTTTGATCTCATGTCATGTTACAAGATTAATGTCCCAAGAACTACGAATAAAGATACATCGGGTTGAGAACAGTCCTTATCTCATGTTACCCTCGCGTAAAACATCAATCATGTCATAAATCCGCTTGTTTGCTCTCGATTGAACCTGCATGCACGAGAAGACTTCATATGAAGTATATGTACTGTTAAAACATGATTGCAGGGGACAAAAGGGGGATTATACAAGGAATGTGGTTTCACTTATTCGTTTGAATAAATGGGATACCGAAATGTGTTATACATCTATCAGACTATAATTACCTTCTTGGCAAGGAAAAGTAAAGCATCAACCGTACCCTCTGCATAAATTGATCGCCCGCAAACATTGTGCTGAAACTCAAAGGAAACACTTCCCCAAAAAAAAAAAATAATAATAATATAAGCAAATATTTGCTGCTGGCGAAAAATGATAGTATCATAACAACGTTGAAAATGAGGGTAAGTATATTACGTTCCATCAGGCGACGTCAAATGATACATATGGAAAGCGTGGCCATATATATGTTCTTCTGGGACACCCACCATCTCAATTTGTAACTTGGGGTCTCGTATTAGTTGAACCTAATAGGATAGATTGATAATAAATATCAGAATGTAAAAGTCGAAAGCCTGGAAACATCATTATAATTCCTATTTGTAACAAGCTAAAAGAGTATGCCATTCTTCACAAGATATCATAAATACAATAACTCTATAATAAATTCACAGCAAAATATATCATGATGGCAAGATGCAGGATCATGATGGACTCACACTCCGCAGAAATGGGAAAAATGATATCCACTTAATTGCAAGTTAATTGGTCCAGCATAATCAGAGAACAATATAATAAAAAAAGGAGAATACGGGGATTATCTCTCCAAAGCAAGTGTGATTTCCTAGTCTCAGCACCTGAAAGCTATTAGAAAAGCAGTCCTTATAACTGCAGCAATTTCTGATAAAGCGTCATGAACCAAGAATACAACAGCAACCTGAGCCTTAATGCCAATACACTGTTGGTCACGTGAATCAATTTTCACTTTTCCATTTAATCCAGAGCTACCCATACTTGAAGGTCCATAGAAACCAAACCTTTTGCAACCACCTCGTGTTATAGTAATTTTAACATTTTAGCTTAGCTCACCGGTCAAATGCAGTGTCAATGATATCAGCCAATTACATAGTTTTCCGGCGCCCCCAATTTCCCAAATCACACCTATCCCGCTAATCTTCGCATCTTGATCACCCATCTCCAGAACCACTTCTCAACTTGAATCAATAATCTCCTCGCTAATAAATTTAATTTTCTCAATGGTAACATATCAAAACAGTCAATCAACTCCTCCAATGTGGAAAAGAAAGAACGAGAAGGATGAGAAAATTATGATGAGTAGAGAGCACTAACTAGCACCCTAAAAAGTTGAGCTTCATCAAATAGTAACATTACTTTGCCTGAGGCTTTTTAACACAAAAAGTATTTTGAGCACCTCAGTCCTCAGGCTTTTAAGTCTTCTTCGAGATTGATAGTAATTATTCAAAGTGCAATTATGCATTTACAAAGTGAAAAGCAGAAAACTCGTAGCAAGAAACTTTCTAACTATTCTTTGTGGTCAAAGTTAATTTATGCCAAGGAATACAAATTGAGCAATAATTTCCAATGATGGCCATGTTTCATCCTTGAAAGATGTCGGAAAAAAATACATATTTCAATAATATGTTTACAATGAACACCCCAAACGCACCTGATCTAGTTCAAAAGAGACTCCAAGTTTCTGAAAGCATGAGATGACAGCCTTAGCAGTTCCAGAAACATCCAATTTGCTAGCTTGATGGGACTCCATCACCTTATATAAGTTTTACAAGGGATTAAAAGAGAGTGTGAGTTTAAACTTTTACTTTCAATGACCCAGTATATAGCTGATAAATAACTCCCTAATTTAAGGTGGCAGTGGATATTACTGGAGCTATCAGCTGATGGTAGTGGTGGCTCAGAGGATTTCATTACTTTATTTTTATCTGCATGTTATTTGCACGCTAAAACGTGCACTCCCCTACACACAGACACACACAGCCCATAAACTAATAAGAAAGAAAGGTGTGTTGTTCAATAAATTGTTGCATTCGGGAAAAAAGCCTGTGGAAAACTTTGCATTTGTATATATTAAAATTAAGCACAAGAGAAAAATATAATAACTATTAACCTAGAAAAGAAAAGGACTATAGAGACCTCACTTGTAATTGATACCCAGAGAAAGCTCCGGGAAACTGTTCTGCCATAATTTCCATGGCTGCAAGAAATGCTACCACCTAAAAGACATTAGTGAAACGGGTTTTACACATGTAAAGTACAAGAAAACAATTGAGCATTATACATAATCAACCAAATAGCGATTGCAAAGTTCAAAGTACCTGTTTACCCATTTGTGGTGAGATCACAGCATAAACATTTGAGTCTGCAACAGTCTTATACAGCAGCTCCCTGTCTCCTCCAGTGGTTCCCATTACAAATGGTACTCCAACTTTGCAATACAGTGCAGCATTTTCTGTATACCACAATACAAAAAGAGCACAAGCTAAAACTTTGGATTCTAGCCTACATAGCATAAGCATTTTTGAAACTAAGTTAAACCTTTGCATTATACTGTAAATCAACGTATGCTTACCATTCACAGCAGCTGGGACTGTGTAGTCTACCACAATCAAGTTGGAATATTCATTTAAAACAGAAGATAGAATGTCTTCTCTTTGAGACGTGCCATGAATTTTGATCTCCTTTCCACCAACATCCACAATTTTCCCATTATCTTCTGGACCACCTAATGCTACAGGAACAGGGTGAAGTCCAGCAGAGATGGCGGCTTCAAGAACAGCCCTCCCCATTTTTCCAGTACAACCATTTACCTGAAAAAAATTATGAAAAACAGAAATTATATAAGCTGCATCCGCAACACTAAAGTTTGATTTCGCAATATAAGCTCCATCAGCAACACTTAAGCTGTACTTTTACATGGCTTTTATTTTAGCAAAATCCTGTCGTATTCTGGCCAAAATAATGCTACAGTATTTAATCAGTGTCGTAAAATCCACATCTAAATACAAAACCTGCAATTCGCTCGTGTATGCAGACACTGCATTTCAATACTGACTACCTACAGATACATTTCACCCTGAATTAAGCACCGGGAACTCCAATTTGGGCCTCATATCAAAGGACACCTTAAAAGACGCTATTGGGACATTCCCAAATATCGAAAATAGACACGCCACCATTTCAAGCGTGCTCCTGCATTATACACTCAATGCTCCAACATTGACTCAAACATGGGACTTGCAGCTCCGATACCTCCGATACCAACTGATGGAAAATGCAACCACTTTTTTGCAAAAGCTATAGCTGCTTGGAATTTGCAATCCAAACTCCGGATTGGCCTCACTTCAAAGGAGGCCTTACGCTAATTGGGTCATTCCAAAATTGCGATAATAGGCACACCCCATTTCAAGCACCTGTACATACCCAGGATTATGCAGGATTATACACAAAAGATCCTTTTTTGGCTCCTTTAGACCTGTGTATCTTATCATTAGAGCTCTTAAAAACAAAATGTGCCGGCTTTTAACACTCAATGCACAATTACGTTTCAATCCATAAGCGACCGACTTTAAAAACACACAAAGCCCATCTAACAAAACGGAAAAAAATACAGAAAAATAAATAAATTGAAATTACCATTATAGGAAGACCAACATTTTGCGATGTATTTGTAACCGCAAGTTCAACAGATTGTGCTGGAGTGCTTGCATTCGTAACCAAAATATCTCGCCTTTTCAAAACATTAATACTGACATTTCTGCCTATTGATCTTCCACAAGACCATGGAATGGGCACACTCTTACGTTGATGAATAGCCACAGCGGCATTGATTGGAAGTTTAACCATGAGCGCCATTGGTTATAGTACAAAAGACTCCGTTCAGAAGTCTGGGGTTTTCAGTTTCTTCTTCTCTCTTCTCTATTTGAGATATTAGGGTTTTGTTTCTCCCATTTTAATTTTTTTTTTTTAATTATTTCATGTTGGGAAATGGAATTTTATTTTTCAGTGTTGATAGTGAATAATTTACGAAGTGGTGGTGATGTAAAAGGAAATGAGAGAATTTTATTTTTTAGTTGGTTGATGAAATTTTGATTCAATCATATTTCAACATGATAAATAAATGGGTAATGCTAGTGATACATCACCACTAACATAAGGGTCTACATAATGGACACCTGACGCTCTTTCATTGGAGGGAGGGTTGGTGTCGTCGGCACTCCCTCCAATGAGAGGGTGTCGGGTGTCCATTATGGATACCTTGATGTACAAGGTGATGTACAACAAAAATTATCCTAAATAAATTTGTGTTGTACATTTAGCACAAGCGGCATTACAATTCATTAAATTACCATTTGGTATATTTAAAAGTTATGTCCATGTTTAGTTCAACTATAAAATTAAATTCAAATTAATAACTAATTTCAATCGCACATTTCATAAGGCCATAATTTTTCAATCATATATTTTATCAACTTCTATAAAAATATAATAAGAATCTTCTTTTTATCTAACCAAATTGAGCTAAATTTTGATAAAAATTGATGAATTTGTGATTGAAATTTGTGAAATTCATTAAAATTTAGTTGAAATTAATTGAGCCCTTTTAAAGTTTTATCAAAATTTTAAACCACGGGGACTAAGACTGGTTTGTATAATGGTGCAAGAGTGATGCATCGACATTAGAACTAGACTCCTTAGTCGGGTAGAAGAGATCACTATGCCTCCCTCCTTGTTCTAATCGTTCCTTGGTATCACGGATCGCAACTTTACTTAAGCCCTGTGACCCTATCACAACCTCAATTTGTCCAACTTCGACCGCACATTGTAATAATTTATTTAAATTGTAAAATATATAGAAATTAGAAAATTTTAGTATGATTCTTCAGCATTTAAACGTCTACTCCCGTCAGTTGGGTTTTTGTTGCTAAATCTATTATAGGGGGTATTAGTTTTTCAAATATCTTTCAAGTTTTCTAGTGTTCGCCTACTGCACTAACCATTGTAATTTCCTACTTTCGTCTATTGTAATTTCTAACTTTCAATTAATCAATGATCAAGTTATGTTCAATGCATTTCAATTTCATGTTGCAAACTTTTTTAAAATTGTAATCAAATTGTCTTTCGTTCCGAAACGACCGAGAGAAGGCAGAAGGTAGTCTATCGGAGTAGACTACTGCCGCACGGTGCCCCTTTCTATGCTAAGAAAAAAGGTAACCTGTGAAAGTTGGTATTAGAGTTGCGGCTCAAGACCCTCGATAAAAAAGTTATAGATCCAATGGAATCGAACACCACTGAAGTGGTAGATCCTCAAAAGAGGAACATGAAACAGCGCGTGGATGCGCTAGAGATGATAACTGTCAGGTTGTGCTATGCCGCGGAGAGTCTCAATGAAAGAGTCAAGGCGGCGATGTGGAGATTCGTGAATTGAACACCCAATTGGGTGAAAGCCGAATGGCTTGCACAATAATGATTGAAGTTGTTGCTATCATCCCTGATTTGCAGGATGAGATAGGAGCGCTGAAAGCTCAATTACTAGTGCTTCAACGCACGGTTGGCAATGTGTAAGCCACCGCACAAGAGCTTATGCATAAGCTTAGTATTCCATAATCGTGTACCTACATAAGGGCACGAGATGCTAAAGAAGTTGAGAACTTCGTGTTTGACGTAGAACAATACTTTGTTGCGGCTTTGATCAAAGACGAGGAAAAAGGTCACAACAGCTACCATGTATCTAAGTGGAGATGCAGAATTATGGTGGCGGACAAAGTATGTTGATATTCAGGTCATAGGGTACGCATAGATTCTTGGGATCTTCTCGAGGAAGCAATCAGATTTCAGTTTTTCCCAGATAATGTGGAATACAAGGTACGTCGGGCCTTAAAAGAACTGAAACACACAAGCTCCATTAGGGAGTACGTGAAAGCCTTTTCAGGACATATGCTGAATATTTGAGATATGTCGGAAAATGACAAGCTATTCACCTTCATGGAAGGGTTGGAACCGTGGACACGCACAGAACTTCAGAGACAGAAGGTCACTGGTTTAAGCGCGGCTATGGGAGCTGCCGAATGTTTAAGTGACTATCAACCGGAATTGAGAGATGATCGACCTTCGGGAAATAGACCTTATAGACCCAACTCGAACTCAAATGGGGGAGAGTGTTACTCTCAGAATCAGGAAGGAGCCTATCAAGGTAACCGTCAGAGTAACAACTAAAAACAAGGAAAAGCAACGGATGGCAGATCTTATGTCACTCCCAAATTTAAATGTTTTTTATGTGAAGGACCACATCGGGTGACAAAGTGTCCTAAAAAATGGATGGTAAATGCATATTATCTACTAGCAAGTGGCAGAACCAATTCAAAGCAAGGTACCCCACAAGCTAGCTGTCATGGCGAGACCGACTCCGAAGAGGATGAGGATGTACTTGGTGCATTCTCACATCGGTGCAATACACTAACGCACCGAGTTACTAAAAGTGAAGATGGTCCCTTGAAAGAGCTGAAGATGGAAGAATTGAAGGCTCGCACTTATAGGGCGAAAGGCTAATGTACATTGATGTAAAGATCAATGGAAAGCCAATCAGGGCTATGATAGATATCGGTGCTATCCACAACTACCTCGCAAGTACCGAAGTAGAGTGGCTCGGACTTGCTCTAGGAGAAGGTAAGGGAAAAGTTAAAGCAATCAACTCCACTGCTCAACCAATAACTGGAGTAGCGAAATCTGTGTCGATCAAAGTAGGTCCCTTCAAGGGAAGGACGAATTTGTCGGCAGTTCAAATGAATGATTTCAAGCTCATTATGGGATTGAAATTTCTTCAGAATACAAGGACAGCAGTGTTGCCACATTCCAACTCGTTAATAATGATAGGTAGTAAACCATACATTATCCCCATACAAGTTGAGAAAGCAGGCGAGAAGGGTATCTCGACCATGCAATATAGTAAGAGTTTCAAGAGGAATTAACACTCAATCTTGTGCACTCTTCGATTAGAGGAAATCGAAGAGCCGACTGGTCCAATTCCAAAACCTGTCGAAAGCTTGTTAAGGAATTTGGGGATATCAAGCCGAATGAGTTACCAAAGAAATTGCCACCAATGAGGGCAATTGAGCGTGAGATTGAACTTCTTCCAGGTGTCAAACCTCCCACCAGGGCACCATACTGCATGCCTCAGTCGGAGCTTAAAGAGCTTCGGAAACGATTGGGAGAAATGTTCGAAAGTGGGACTATTGTAGATCTCACTTTTGCACTACTACAACGTGCAAACTACTGGCCTCAAAGGAGGGACGAAAATGCAGGTTATGTGAAATCTTGTCTTGGTTGTCAGCAAGATATGAAGGATCATCAGAAAAAGGCAGGCTTACTGGAGCCCATTTCCGTCCCAAACAGACCATTCGAGAGCGTGTCGATGGACTACATTGGTGGATTGCCAAAAGTTGGAGACTTTGGCACTATCATCGTCGTGATAGATGACTTATCTAAAGAGACAACTTTCATCACAGCTCCCAAGTATGTATTAGTCGAAGAAACAACTCAACTCTTCTTCAAACGTATTGTTAAATATTGGGAACTGCATAAGGATATCGTCAGTGATCGAGATTATCGATGTACTGGCATACTTTGGACCAAGTTGTTCAAACCTCTTGGTTCAATTTTGAACATGAGTTCTAGTTTTCACCCACAATCTGATGGACAGATGGAACTCTTCAATTCTATGCCGGAAGACTATCTTCAGCACTTTATCTCTGCTTCGCAGAAAATTTGGGTAAAACTCTTGGATGCGGCTCAGATGTGCTTCAATGCCCAAAAGAGCTCCTCCCAGTAATAGTTTTTTCGAGATTACTATTGGCCAGCAACCGTTATTCCCTCATACTAAAGAGATTCTTGGCCATCTAACAACTTGAGCTTCTAGGAACTACCATCAAGAGTACTTGGTCAAATGGAGTGGATGCAAAGCGAGGAGAAGAACTGGGCAAATGGAGATTCTTGGCCATCGAACTACTCGATCTTCTAGAAACTATTTTCAAGAGTATAGGTCAAATGGAACGGATGCAACATCAAGGAGAATGATTGGGCCTATGGAAAAGACCTTAAGGCCTTCAAACCATCAAACATATCATTCATTAAGGGCTCCGAGGACGTCGCTAAAACAAATGGGGGAGAATGTCACGGACCGTAGCTTTACTTAAACCACGTGACCCTTTATTTAAATTGTAAAATGGATAGAAATTAGAAAAGTTTAGTATAATTCTTCAGCATTTAAACGTCAACTCCCGTCAGTTGGATTTTTGTTGCTAAATCTCTTATAGGGGGTATTAGTCTTTCAAACATCTTTCAAACTTTCTAGTGTTCGCCCCATGCACTAGCCATTGTAATTTCCTACTTTCGTCTATTGTAATTTCTAACTTTCAAGCAATCAATGATCAAATTATGTTTAATGCATTTCAATTTCATGTTACAAGCTTTCTTTAAATTGTAATCAAATTGTCTTTCGTCTCGAAACGATCGAGAGAAGGCGGAAGGTAGTCTAGCGGAGCAGACTACTGTCGCACGATATCCCTCTCTGTGCTAAGAAGAAAGATAACCCGTGAAACTTGGTCATGCTTGATTCTGTTCTGATCACAATCTCAATAACTCCTTCGATAGTTAAGAGAGATCACTGATACCTATCTTCCTTGTTCCAATCATGTCTCGATCGGAGCCTGATCCCAGTATAGTCAGTCTCAAAGGACTTAGCTCGATGACATTAGAGCTCAAAATCAGACAAATTCAAATTGGTAGATTAAAAAAAAAACAAATAAGTTTCGAATCCCCCCAGAGCCATTGAGGTGAGTACACAGCCGTACACTCCAGGGCCACGTGGAATTTGTTGAGGTGCGCGCAAGCTGGCCCGAACACCCACGATTATCAAAAAAAAAAAAAGAAGTCGCGATTAGAGGTGTAAAATCGAAGCAAAAACTAAATATCCAAAAGGGTAAAATCAGCTGCTTCATTCAAGATTTAATTACATCCCCAATAATTCTACTGTGCATCAAAAGGGTAAATGAGCAGCTTCACTCACCACAACATTGTGCGACAAATCATAACTGTAGGAACAAAAAATGAAATAGCCACAATTAAGCGCAAATACTGCAAAACTATTGGTTCGTTTCCAAGTCATCCTTCTACACCTATATATGTACAGAACTTATGATGCCAGACAGCAGAGTAGATGAGAAACAAAAAAAATTGACTCCACCCCTACGGAACAATTACTGTCCTGTCCCACAAGAATATCTTTTCTAGAAGTTGAGGATATGGATCCTGCTGTTGCAAAATGGTCAGCGTTGGTTTTCTGAGAGCCGCCGTCTAGGGCACGATGCAATTACTGAAACTGGCTCCACCAATCCCATCTGGTTGCATTTGCTTGTCTAGTAAATCTCTGCTAACACCAGAACTCGAAGATCTATGGTGCATTAAATTGTTCTCCACAGAATCCACGAGCAAGCGTTTCATGGCCCCCGAATCTGAATCCGGTGACAAATCTTCTTCGCGCTCAGGCTGGATATTAAGGTCTATTTGACCTTTCAAAGGAGAGACCGAGGATTTTCTCTCATCAGGGTCATCAAGACAGGCCCCTTGGCTTGCCTCTTCCCGGTTCAGACTACTTTTTCCTATGTCATTGTTCAGATAAGCATCATTATCCACCTGCAGCTTCTGACAGGCACTTCCAGCTTCTTTTGTCAATTGTTTCTTCTCAAACCTCTCCATCAAGGAACTGAAACGATGCTTTAGTGATTCTGAGTTGGCAAAATCGCATATTTGCTTCTGCTTTAGGTCGTTTCCATCAGAAGGTTGAATGCAGATAATGCATGTACAGTCGAGTTTATGGCCTGCGTGCTTCATTTTAGTCTGAGATGAAGCTGGAAGGTCCACTTCCTCCACTTGGATAGCTAAATTAGCAAGTGCATCGAGTCGTTCCTGTGCCACAACTGGATCTGAATTCTGTTCAGTAATGTTCTTTTTCTTACTCACTGTATAAAAATTAAAAAACCATTAGCAAAAGTGAAATTGCATTCAAGTAAGACAAGCAACATGCAAGAGAAGAAAGGAATCTACCTTCAGTAGTAGTGGATAATATATCTTCAAGCTGCTGGGTAGATAATTGCTGAGCAGTTGAACATAGAGATCTGATGTAGAAAAGAACATGTAAATTAAGAAGACGGAAGATTATTGGTTGAAAAATTACACTCTCTCGGATTGAAGCATAATGCTATATAATAGTTGTGATCCATTAAGGCACAAAATGGAAACCAAGTTTGAACAGACACAAAAATGAGGACAAAGTGGATAGAGTTCAAAATGAAGAATATGCCTCCGTTTATTTCTCATTTTTCATCCATAACAATGAAAAATATGACCGTTATCCATCACATCAAGCCATCAATTTTGAATTTCTATCTCTTGTGTGAGGCTCAATAACGGCTATATTTTTCATTCTCATTCTACAATAATGAAAATCAAACTGGCCCTATATATTATATGGAAGTCCAATATACCTGTCCAGGCCCCATATATTCTCAGAACAGGTCCATCTTGACGGAAGAAGAGCATTTGCAGGCACTTTGCGCCACTTTAAACAAACCTCACATTCTACCCATTGGATTTTTTCACTAAAGCAAAAATAATGCGAATGAACATTCCACAAGCAAAGTGATGACGATACAAGATAGAAAAGGAGGGACAAAATACACAGATATTTATCAAAGAAAGCATGTTACCCAAAACAATCTATTGCAGGAATAGTCGGCCTTCCGATAATTGGTGCATCCTGCCAAAAAGAAAACCAAATCAGGACTGTGAAGGAATGGCATTCGCTTTAATATCAAGCATATAGCTTAGTCTAGCATGAAAAACATTCTCAAAAACCTGAAGTTAATCAACAAAAATAATTATGCACACATTTATCTTGACAGCAAACTTAAAAAGGACAATGTGGGAGATAAATTATGGTCAATAATAACTTCACAGTTGGGGCTCAGTCTCAATAAAATAGTTTATGCATCATTTAATAATGTTGCAAATCCAACAAATTCACTAACATCTTTTTGGACAACAAAGATTGTACTGAATTTATTTCTCCCAGCCTTTAATCCTAATAAGTGGTTTCTTTTCTAAGGAACATGGATCATAAACATCTCACAAGATTTTCACGGTGAAACAATGCTTACAAACACAATATATTATGCAACCGACACCTATAAATAAACTCCCAACAGATATTTGATAATAGCAGTGCCCCAATACCTCAAATTCTTCAATTTCACAGCCTTCTACTACAAAAACAGAGGGCACATTTTCAGGAGGTGAGCGCATGATTCCTTGAACTTGGTTACATGTGAGCTTCAGTTCCATCATCTCTTCATTGTCAATCCTAAGACGTTTACTTTTCAAACCAAAGATGCTATTCTTCCTCTTACTACGAACGACAGACTTATTTTCAAGTATTTCCTTCTTTGCGAACCCTGATTTATCAATTTCAGACTGGTTACTCCCTGAATCTGCTCTAGCAGCAGGTTAAATGCTGGAAAGCTAGCTGGCATCAAATTACCTTTTACATGTCCATTTGTTGCATCTTCCCCAAATTTGTATTTACCACTATCATCCCCAGAAGTTTTATCTCCGATTAAAGTAGCTTTATATCCCTGTAAAGAGAGCAATAAGATGAAAAAACAGAAGTGAGTCTTCAAATTTCAATTCAAAATACAAGAAACAGAATGCAAAGTGTGTGTGAAGTAAATAAATAAATAATAAACATGATAAGTTGAGAAAACAAGCACAAAGACACATGGTTTCATCGAGAACAACCATTTTCAATTGACCTATTCAGCCCCATTCAATTTAAATAATATAGCATCAGTAAGGGGCATGTCTTCTAGAAGAGAAGGCTCCCTATAGTCCATCAGCACTCTCTCTACCGTCAAAGTCCATTAACTTGTCAGTTTTCAATCATCAGTGTTTGACCAGCTTTACTCAAATAGTGCTTATTTTTCACAGTTCAACTAATGTTTCTGGTAAGGGGATGGGCTGCCGCTGTCCGCAAAGCTTTTGGAATAATACCTGTCAGACCAAAGACTTCTCCCCTTTCTTTTTCCTCTTGTGAGCATCCAGATACCTCTATCATGTCCCATAAAAACCTTTTGGAACAATACTAGAACTCCAGTTGGAAAGAAGAGCAGTGAAATAGTGGGGAAAAGCAAGAAAAAATAAAATAATAACCTCCATGAAGTCACCAGAGATCTTTACTGAGTATTACTGGAAATGAGTGTCAAGTGGCTGGGCATATTTATAATAGGAGTATGGCTAACTAACACCCGTCTAGGTGGCATTAACTAATATTTTAAATAAGACATATATCCTCACATTAGGTTGAATCCATGTTACACGTGTTGCCATCTAGACTGATAATAGCAACAATGATGCTAAATAGCATTATTCAGGCTGTGTATGATACACATTGTGGAGAAAATAATGCATTTTTTCAAGTGATGTGATGAAAAATATATGGTTAAAAAATAAGGAAAAATTTTGGATTCGCGTGTAATATTATTTTATTGATGAATGTGTGGTTGAAAATGAGTAGAGTAAGAATGCATTTTTCAAGAATGTGGATCAAACTGGGGCTCCTTATAATAGTGCAAATTGCTTCTATGTCCTTAAATTTTAATTAGAGAACAATGCGGGCATGCAAAAATATATATGTTGTTGACTTCTCACAACAAATTTCCGACTTCACAAGATCAAAGCGAAGCTATATATAGCATTTTCAAGGCATATGTATGCTTGCCAAAAGGCCCAACTGCCGTCTTAACAGCATTGGTTGCTAATTGTCACGTAAGATTATTGCAGGTACTGATTAGTGATTAAGTATGAAAAAGACAAACCTGATCGGGTGGAGCAGTTGAAGCTTTTCTGCCTCCCATGACCAGCTTCCCCTCTGGCTCCAGCCTACTAAATGTCACTGACAAGAAATATACCACCTCATTTTGCAATTAGAAGAAAGAAGCAAAATACATTTTTCTCTCTCTTATTATCAACCACACATTTTTCAATAAAATAATATTACACATAAATCCAAAATTTTTTGACCACACATTTTCCATCAAAATACTATTTCAAAATGCATTTTGGGAAAAAAAAATAAGGCTCAGACAGACGCATATTATTCTCAATAACATTACATGGAAGAACACATCTGCTTTTACTGCTGCCCCAAAGATGATATTCAAAAAATTATCAAATGGTGAAGTGTGACAATAATTTAATGGCAAAGTTGCACAATTTGTTTTGCCAAAATTGTGGTGGGGAAATGAGAATAAGAATTAAGGTGATAAATATACATTTGAACAATCTTAGAACCAAATGAACTCGAACCAAATGATGTAGGATGATAAAGAATGAAAAAGATTAAGATCCACACCTGGGTAATTGATAACATAGATATTTAAGTCTCTACTATGGAACTAAATAATAGAAGAGTACAACTTCCATTCATCTCAATTCGGGGACCAAACACTAAACGAGGGAAAAAGCAATTGTGCTACATGTACATAATCGGTTTACATACACATGATGTGGTGAGATATGATTGAGTCAGAATTTCTTCAACAACAAAAAAAAAAAAAAACCTACCCACTCTCTTTTTTACACGCATCTGTATGTAGATCATTATGTAACTCTTTATGTACAAGTAGCATCATTCAACTTTCAAACCACAAAAGAAGATGAGCTAAATAAAAACTGGGAGAAAGCGAAAAAACACAAGTAATGCATATAGGCAATCAATTACCTACATCACCGGCTTGAAGTTCCATTGACTGTATACAAGGAGTGATTCCTTCTAAGACGTACATTCTGCTATTGTTATTTGGCCAAAATCGAAACTGGAATGACCATTCTTTTCCCTTCAAATCATGTACTTTCAAAGGTAATCCTTCTGGTTGAGAAATCGGTGGGAAGTAGGCCTGATTAATTGTAAATGAAGTTAAGAGCTCTTTTTTAGGAATACATACAACGAGTTAACCAGATAAACCTTGCAACTATCCAGTCCAATTTGGCAGGTAGTAGAGGATTTACACAAACAACAATGTATATAACATTCGAAAACAACTTAGGTAGCAGTTAGAATTGAAATTAGCAGCTAAAAGTAAGTTTTTTTATTTGGGGACCTAATTAAATGTTGACCAATAGTTTAGGACCATAGAATAATTTATTTTACATAAGTAGATTTTCCCTTTGCTAAATCTTAGTAATATGATTGCATAATTAATTTAAATATTGCGTGTCAATTAACCTAATTAATTGGTTAATTATTATAATTAGAATCATTTATTAAAATTAGAAACATTATCTATGCATGCGTAATTATCAATCTCATATTTTTATATGGTATGTTAAAATATTTATTTCGACAATATCTTATTAGTAGCAATTATATATTTATTAATATAGTTAATTGGGTAATTAGTTTGAGTCATTGATTACACTCTATATGGAAAGACATGTAGCATTAATAAGAGAATGAATGTTGGTACCAAAAATAGGTAATATGATCAAACCTTAGAGAGCCCTATTTATAACCCGTCATATCATTTAGACTAACACGCAACTTATCTTGTACTTTACATCTTTCTTTCTTTTAACTCACGTTCCACGTACATTTTCACATTTGAAAATTTATATTGTAGAGAAAATCTGGCAAGACAATTTCCTCGACTTACCTTGATCTTCTTCCATGCAACCGTAAGTGTAGTAGTACGAATTGTTCTTTTATTATTTAAATTACGAAAATTTATATTATGAATATGATAATATGGAAATCCAAGTTATGATTATGATAAAAGTTCTATATGTGTAAGTTCAAACGACCAGAGTTTAGTAGCACTACGCACGAGAATTATAACCACGAAGTTCGGATTTTTATATTCGTGTCTCCATATATAATGATTTTCCGTATTTAATTATGAGATGAAATTCGTTATTACTCATTTACTGAGATTTATGTCTCATATGTATATGTTAAAATTTTTATAAGTAACTAAACAAATTTATCTTGTAGTGAAAATCTAGCAAGACAATTTCCTCGATTTACCTTGATCTTCTTCCATACAACCGTAAGTTTAGTAGTACGAATTATTCTTTTATTATTTAAATTACGAAAATTTATATTATGAATATGATCATATTGAAATCTAAGTTATGATTATGATGAAGGTTTTATATGCGTAAGTTCAAACGACCAGAGTTTAGCAGCGCTACGCACGAGAATTATAACCACAAAGTTCAAATTTTAATATCCGTGTCTCCATATGTAATAATTTTCCGTATTTAATTATAAGATGAAATTCGTTATTACTCATTTACTGAGATTTATGTCTCATATGTATATGTTAAGATTTTTATAGGTAACTAAAAAGACGGGTTCGAGGCGATTTGAGGTGAATTGTGCTTGAGTGGGTGAAAATGAAGAATAAATTATGTAGTTAAAGATTTTAATAATGTTCATTGTACTTTTTTTAAAACTAATTTTAAATCTTCGCATGTTAAGAAAATATTATGTTTTTCTTTTGTTTATGAAAGTATTCTTTTACGGTACATGTGTAATGATTCCAAAGATAAAAAAATTGAGTCGTTACAATGTAACTTATAAGTGAATATATGCTAACAAATCTCCATTAGGAAGATTTTTAAAACTAATTCATGACAAAGCTTGACTATCACTCTATGTAACTTTGAGCTGACTATCACTCTCTGTGATGAAATGGAATAGATGACCCACCACCATATATATAAATCTAGAAAGCAACATTACTCTGCAACAACAGTCATAACAGTAGAAAGTCTGTCCAACTAAGAAAGATAATTTCCCCCCTCGGGGGCCAAAGAGATAATTTGAGAACTAGTTTGACCTCTCATGAGACAACTATTTAGCTTTTTATTGGATTGAGAAACAGAGGTGACAAGCTTTTGGTCAATCAACCGATTAAACTCGGTGCTTCAATTACGTTGTATCAAATACCTTGCACTCAAAGCTATCCTTTCTCCCAGACATGCATACAAAAGGAGTGAGTAATTGAAGATTGTTCAGGAAATATTTCATGCCTGACATATGCATCTTGATCTCCTTCCCCATTTTTTAATAACGGATACCAACGGAATACATCATTCTTTGCTCTTTGAACAAAAAGTATAAACTATTTATAAATCTTAACACCCTACAAAATAAGTATTAAAGGTTCAATTTCTAAGATCTTATCCCATTATCTTTAAATTCTGAGTTGAAGATGGTTCCATTATTTTTTAAATAGATGTAGCACAAACAATGTATCCAGTATCGAATTCAGAAACTAAAAATACACACACCAAGTTGTTATTCATAAATATAAATGCATTCAGAAACAATTTAGTATATATAAAATATGCAAGTATTAAAGAAGCTCTGCATGCATAAATAAGAGTAGAATGAGAATGAAAAATATAGCCGTTATTGGGGCACACAAGAGATAGAAAATTTGAATTTAAATATTGATGTGATGTATAATGGTCATATTTTTCATTTTAATGAGAAAATAAGGTGGCCCAAATGGGGGTTATATGTTAATATAAAGATTTTGAAAGCACATTAAAACATATGGACTCACCTCTGCACATTTTTTTGGCAGCACTAAGCGCCCAATCCGTCCAGCATCACTGGCGCTTAACATTTTCTCAAATAGAGGAGTAATTACAGAGTTTGAACTATCAAGAGGCTAAGGTAATAACAAGGTACTAAATTGCAGAATTTCAACACACCGATTTTGATTAATGATGAAGTTCTTATAAATCCATGCAGGTCAAGTAATAAATGACCTTAAAAAAATAGTAGCATATTATATTAAAAAAAGTCTAGTTTCAAAACAGTCGTAACAATAATCGCTAAGACGTGAAAAAACTGCAAAATGCCTTCTATAACCAAAGGATACGCGCTGGAAATTTGTTGTAACTCCTTATCAGTTATTCGAGGCCAATATCGAGGAAGCAACTGATTTCGGCCTCGGACATCTCCTCGAGATTTTCCATTGCACACTTGAGCCTCACCAGATGAGTCCATTCCGTTATGAATGCAAACCTGTTTGCCCACGAGAGTTGAAAGGGATGGCTGTTGTAAAAGAGTTGCAGAAACCTGGTCAATATCATTTATTTCATTTCTAAATGGAGGAGCTGCAGCCAAATTCAGTTTAGAAGTAGGAGAATCATTCTTGGGGAATGATCGCAGATGGGAGACATTTACAGACAGATTAGGTTGCCCCTCCTTACTGAGTCCTGCAAGAAAATGGTTTGCATCAGATTCTAATACGAATTTTGCATTCACGTATGGTGGACATTTTTTCGGAAAGAAATAAATGCAAGGAAACCAAAAGTTTCTTCACTCCACTTAAAAAAGAGACAAAAGTAGTTACCAGCATTTCTGTCCTCGACAGTTTCAAACGGACCACTTCTCAACTTCCCATATATTAATCTTCCAAAGGAGCTCTCTTCTTTCTTCTCAAGGAAAGAGCTAGATAATCTCTCACAAATACGGAATCTATCAATGCCATCTGAAATATCATCTCCAAAGGCCATCCTTGGCTGCGAATCAAATTGGATACTAGAACCGTTAAATAAACTGGGTGCCTGCCGCCAAGGTATTGGACCTGAGCCAGTTATTGTACTCCAGTTTCTCGTTGAGATGTCTTTCATTCTTTCAGGCTCTGAAGAAAGGAAGTGTGGAGGTGGTGGCCATGCAGGATTTGGAGTCTGGAGCGTGGAAAAATAATTTAAAGATAAGGACATAACCATTTGTTGGGATGTAAAAATATTGGATTATGATCAAAGTAAACCATTATCGTTGGCAAAAACACAAGAACTCTCTGATGGCACTCTGTACAACTCTTCATAAAAAACAAAATCAAATAATTATAAGAATGTTTCTTTGTATCAATAGTGGCTGCGAAGTATCTGATTGCATTGGATTTTGAGTGAGAGATCACATAGAGCATAGAAAAGGTTTTAAATTAAATATTTTCCAACGTACAAGCACTAAAGCAGAAAAGTGTGACATGACAGCAATTCAACTGCTTTCGAATCCCATATAAAACAAAATTCTCAATAAAAGAGTCATATGATCCATACCAAAATATTATTCTTTGCACATGATAAGCACTCAATCCCTCCTGCATCCAATAGTATGAACATATGGAATGAAACTATACAGCCACAATGTATTTGCTGCAATGAAAAATTCAGCACTCGTAATTTCAATATTGCAAAGTGGAAATGTGAACTTCAAAATTTAATGTCCAAACACTAAAAATACAGGAAATATTTCTCCTAAGTAAAAAACAAGATGTATGAAACTAGCTAACCTTTCCACAAGATTCACAACATCTCCAACCAGAAGCATTCAGGTGGAACATTTCGCAAAAATTCCCCTCCTCATAAGCAGAACTAGATAGACATGGAATTACATGGTGTAATAGCAAGTAAAAAAAAAAGGATAAAAGCGAAAAAAAACATCATGAAGCAATCTTCTTCCAGATATATCATAGGAGGATGTAAACACGATACAGCATACAGCTTAAGTTCCAATTAGATAAGTTATAGTTTTTGAAAGATCGCTTAAAGTCCTACTTTACACAACAAAAACCATTTAGCCCAGCCAAATTTTGAAATGCCAATGAGTCAATTTTCCCAACATTTTTCCGAGTAAATCATTTTTCCGTAAAGTCCCTATCAAGTAATCAAGATATGAATATTCAGAAAAAAGTTTAAAAGTAATTTCTTGTACAAAATGATAGAGTTTGTCAAGCCAAAATGGGGGAGCCACCAGCATTCAAGTCAAAACAGGTTGCAATGCAATGCACCATTAAATGATGGCAAGTTCCACTAGATAATTTGGAGATACGAAGATGATAATAGATTCATAAATAAATAAAAAGAAAAGGCAGATTACATCATACTTATGCTCTCTATCAATAGTCATGTGAAGTTCACCTAAAAAGACAAGGAATTAGCTGGGCAACAAATGTCTAGTCTTTTCCCTTTTAACAAGTTAATCTTTAAATAGGAACAAGTTAATAAATTTCATTGTAGACCTGGCCGATCACTGTATTGTAATTATGCAGGACAGCTGACAAAAGAATATATGGATATTATAACAAAAACAATATTAAAGGATTTGATAAGTATGAAAACGAAAGATATTCTCTACAAACTATTTTTTATCAAGTTGAATCTCAGCAAAATCTTTAACTACCTTGGTCTATATTAACACCTATAATTCAAAGTTTTCAATTTGGTTTTTTCTTGGTTCAAAATTTTCACATTTTTTTGCACACTCCAAAAACCTGAATTTTCACCCAAAATTTACACTGGCAATAAAAGGTAAACAAAAATGTCAAATCAACAAAAATGCACATTCTGGACCAAATGCTCACTCGCCAAAATGCACTACTAGTTCTCCACAATGAGCATAATGTAAATGCTGGCCATACATCAAGAACAATCAAAATTCTAAACTCCATTTGAAAATTTTCAGAAAAAAAAGTAAAAAATTGGTGGCAGCACAATAAAGCTCAAATATTAACACACGAAATTCCAACCACAAAACAATCAACAAAATAAATACTTTGAATTTCTCTCTACACACCATTCGATACGCAATAAGAATTCATATAAAGATCCATACTTCTGGATTTTTCCACAAAAACAGAATTAAAAATTCAAACTCCAATTGTAGACTAGTACGAAATAAAATGTAGACAAGAAGTCAAACCAATATAAAGCAAAACAAAGGAAATTTTCTTACGCGCAGCCATCACAGAGGTCGGCGTACTCGCCGGTACGGCATCGCCAACCTCTCCTCCACTTATCCGACGCCTCTTTGCAATTCGAATTGAAGCAAGTCTTCGACATAACGTACGGAAAACCTAACCAAACCTATAGAAACAAAACTGCATCTAAAAAAGTAGCAAAAAATTACTGTTTTACTTAATTAAAATTGGAAATGATAGTAGAATTTGAAGCCATTTTGAGAGAGAGAGAGAGGGGCGAGGGTTGCTTGGGAGAGGGTTTTAGAGTTGGAGAGATGGAAACTGATGACGAAAAGAAGTGAGAGAAAGTGCTTACATCACTGTGTGTGTAGGCTTTAAAAAAGGGTCGTTAGTTGGAGCTGTGTATATATAGTTGGCGCCGTCGTTTCTCTTCTACTGCATTGTCGTTTGGTCGTCATTGTCAACGGATCCAAACTCACGTTAAAATTTTGATGGGTTTTAAAAAATGCATTATAAATTCTAACGAATTTTGTGAATTTAAATAGATTTCTACAAATTTCATAAAAATAAGAATCTCGTCAAATATAATGAAATTTCAAAAAATTTGATTATATATATTTTTAAACTTGAAATCCATTCTAAATTTTTTAAAATCCATCTATTAATAAAAATAAACTAATTATTGAGAATATTTAGCTTTTAAAGAATTTCATTAAAATTTCAATTGAGTTTTATCACAATCTCAATCGAGGACACCCTATTTTTATGTCCAATGCAAACTACCAAGGGTTAATTATGGTTGTGTCCGAATTAAGGGTGATTTGACAAAACTTTTAATGACATGTAAATTTTATAATTGAAAATTTGATATAAATTTTAGAACACAAAATTAAATTAATTAGCCGCTATAGCATCTCAATATTCCATCATATTTGTATATTAGTACAAACGAAACAAGACGAGTCAAATTCACGTCAAACTAATTGTCTTATCTGCGACCATTTTTTTTTACTAGACATTTGTTATACGTGACTGATTGCAATACGATTATATGTGATT